TGGTATAATCAGTGTCACAGACTGAAAAAGCATACATTTGTAAAATTAATTAATTTTTTTAAATGATAAAAAATCAGGTGTCATTTATAATATTTTTTTTTTCATTAATTTATTTATTTATTCATATTTATATTATGTACACTAATATAGTATAACATACATGTTGTATTTATATATTTATATTTAAATTGTATATATAATGTGTTTGTATAATACATGTATTATAATTGTATAATACATGTTTGCTTTTTTGTGTTGTTTTTGTGTTTAACTATAATTTTTCAGCTGTAACAGCATTTCAATTCAATTTTATCAGAGTTTTGTCTTCAAAATAAAAAAAAACATTAATTTGCATTCATTTTCTTTAATATATTTTCACTTTAATATATCATTCTAATATGCCGATTTGATGTTTAAGAAACATTTCTTATTATTATTAGTGTTGAAAACAGTAGTGCTGCTTAAAATATTTGTGGAAAATGTGATTTTAAAATGCATTAACTGTCACTTTTGATCAATTTAATCCTTGCTAAATAAAAGTTTTATTTCTTAAAAAAAAAAAATGACGCCAAACTAATTTTATGCTGTGTTAATGGTACTTTCTCATTTCTCACTGCTAAATTGCAATGCAATACTATCTTACGTTGTAATTCAACACTGCAGTCAGCTTGATCCAACTGTAATGCCATTTTATTTTCACAATACTGAGATCAGTGTCTCGACCATGGCAGATTATGTGCACAATTTGTATGAGTGAAAGACAGCAGTATGTTGTATCAACATGAAAACTTTGTATTTTGTAGATATAGTGACATTATCTGAGGCCGCCACTGACAGTGCAGGGAAGTGTTTGGTTTCACAGTCACATGAATGAAACTTTATACTTTTTGCACCTTCCAATAAGAAAAAACTCTTTTACATTTTCCACATTATCACTGGTCTCCTGGGATTTCAAGGTTGTGCCAATGATTTTTAAGACCGTGAACATCATGCACATGAATGCATAAAAAGTGTGGAGCAACATAATCAAAGTAGAGCATCTGAAAAGGAGGTTAGCATGTCCCTGAGGACAGGAGAGAAGGATTTCAGACACAGAGAGCTCCTCTTTTGTGTGTGAGAGAGAGTTTCAATATCAGACAATGTCAGTGGTTATGCAACTAAAGGCACAAGTTAATGGCAAAGGCAGCCTCCAGCAATGTGTGTGTGTATCTGACAATGAATAATTCTTTTGAATTTCATCATCATTGAACAGCATGCACGGTTAAACAAACAAGATACTTCCATGTAATATTGTGTATTAGCGTGTGATTTCACATATATGCCCAGAACTAGAATCTCAATTCTATGAACATTTTATATATATATATATAAATATATATAAGCTTTAAATATGAAAATAACAATGAAAATCTTAAAAATGCATGCAGCTATAGTGTACCAAAATACATCGTGCTATGATAAAAACAATAAATATGTAGAACATGTAGTGTGTTGATAGTGAATTTATATAGTGCTTTGTTAACACACTGATAAAGCATTTGAAGTGTTGTGTATATATGTAGCTTTATGGTAAAAACATAAAATGATCATCTAAAAAAGATACTGACACTATTTGTCAAACTTATTAAGCCAAACCGTAAAACGTTTAAGGAATTACTGATTACTTAATTAGTGATCAAACATCCAATAATGTAAAATGTCCATAACTGTATGTAGCTTTTGTGTAAATTAGGAAGGACAGAAATCTTCAAACATCAGAAACCATGCGTATTCCGGCTTAAACAAGTACCAGATGCATATGTATAGATGATGTGAAAACCGTTCAGAGTGTGTGAAGTTTCCAGCAGTAGCAGCTGTTTTTTCTGGAACAGTGAAAGTGTGTGTATGAGACAAGAAAGGAGAAAGAAGTTTCCAGATGTTAGTTCTGGATCAGTGAGCGTACACCACCCAGCCCTGATAAACACACACTGCGCTTGGAGAATCCCTGAACATCCATGAACCACAGCACTTCAATCAGAAAACCCTAAAAAATTGGTTGTGTGATGTATCAACAACATCCATTCAGTTAAAGTGGCGAGGATATATCATATAATAAACGTGAACTGGTTGTGTAACTTTACATATTTCTGGCATAGATTAGAACATGCTCTTCAGAGAGCTCTTAAATTAATTGTGTGGTTTCCAGGCAACAACAAACAAATAAAGTTGTAAACAGTTGTGCAGTGAAGCTCATTGAAGAGGCCCTGATAGAGAGCTCTTATCTAAGGCCATATGTGGAGTAGTGAAAACTTAAAAAATACTGCCCTCTACAGATGCAAAAGCATTATAAATATTGTCAAATGTGCATGTATGCTGTGAAGATACATGCATGTTAGAGCAGTAGTGATTCCAAGGCCACTCTTTTCCCATCCTTTCTAATATGTACTAATGTACTACTGTAATAAAACAAATTGTAGCAAAAAAAAGTTTTTTATTTTTATAATTTTAATTAAAGGGGTCCTATTATGCTTTTTCACTTTTTAAATTTAACGCGCCTTTAAAGGGGTCCTATTATGCGTTTTCACTTTTTTAATTTTAGTCAGTTTGTAGTGTGTATGTTTGGGCATTAAAAAGATCTAGAAAGTTACAAATCTCAAAGTCCACTCCAAAGGGAGATATTTCGTTTTTTTAAAATCCCTTTTCAAGAACTACAACAAACGAATTTTAAAGACGTGGCGCGACGCTGCGCTTCATGTCCGGTGTGCGACCGCCTGAAACGCGGTTTTTTTCACCTCCGTGCCCAAACGTCTTTGTTTGGGCTCCCGAAAGCGGATGATGTCAGAAAACAGTGGTTGCAATTTATTTTTTTAACTCTGTTCCCGAGCATTATAACCCCAATTTGTTATTGTGTGCTGCGCATTTGACCGACGACAGCTTCCACAACACGAGTGAGTAGTGCCGGATTCGCCAAAAGCTTTTGTTGAAAGACGGAGCAAGGGGCGTGGCAGTACTGAAACACCATCTAAGCTGTTCGCCAATCACAACGCACTGGGACAGCTAACCAATCACAACACATTTTGTTTTTCGGAAGGCGGACCTTCATCAAAGCCAGAAATAATCGAGCCGTTTGTGCCAGGCTGGGGAGAAAGGTATTGTAATAATGTAAATTATGTGAAAAATAATGCGTTTTTCGAACCACCAAGCATGAGAGCATGTTCTAGTACACCCCCAAAACAAAATCAAGACTTTGTAAAAGAGCATAATAGGACCCCTTTAAGATTATGCAACTATAGCTCAATAATTTTAAGACTTGTTGGGGCTCTCCTGGATGTTTGTCAAGGCCCTTTAATGAGCCCCGGACCCCTACTATTTTATAGTAGCCAACAAAATTTAACTTGACACTACAATCTCACTGTGTGAACTTTATTGCATTATACACTAAATATCAAACCATGCTGCAGTATCATTATTTTCTCAGAAAATATTCTCATTTTGTCAAAAGTACATCTATTGTTTTATTATTTTAAACCTAATAAACATATTTTTGTAGAAAGTTTTACTTGTAAATGAATGCTTGTGCTCTTTCTTTAAAATAAATATGATTTTTTTTTTCCTTATCATACATCTATTGTCCAAAATACTTCTTTGGGCCACTGTACACTAAACTGTTCAAAGGGTTTTGAAGAAATCAATACTTTTTAGCAAGAATCCAATGAATTAAAACATTTACATTGTTACAATAAAAATTTCTATTTTAAATAAATGCTGTTTTTTTAGCTTTCTATTCATCAAAGAACCCTGAAAAAAATGTTATGGTTTCCACAAAAATATTAAGCAGCACAGCAAAGTTTCTTTAACACCGAATCGGCATATTAGAATGATTTCTGAAGGATCGTGATACTAAAGATTTGATTAATGGCTGCTGAAAAATCAGCTTTGCTGTCACAGGAATAAATTACATTTTAAAATATATTAAAATAGAAAACCGTTCTTTTACACTGTAATGATCTTTCACAATATCACTGTTTTACTGTAGTATTTTTCATCAAATAAATGCAGCCTTGGTGAGCATAAGACACTTTAAAGCACCTTACTAGTGCCCCCTGACATTTGAAATGTCAAATACAGGCCAACATAATTGCATTTAAGACTCCTTTTGATTACCATCTGCAAATACTCAGCACTGCAGCTTTAAACTGTTTATTAACAGTCCAGATTCACACGGTCTCAAATACAGAAACATTCCAAAACCAACCTCTCTCACACACACACACACACACACACACACACAAGCAATAGAGTTGTAAAAGCAGACATTCACACGTTACTATTGTTCTGCTGTGGACAAATGAGCAGAACACATTGAGAAGCACTTTCATTCTAGTGGATCAGTCAAATGTCAGGGGTCAAACTTTAGTAACGATAAGAAGAAAACTATTAGAACTAAAAGGGCTACAAACAAACTGCATCAAAAAAGTTGGAAGACCAAGACACATCCTAAAATCCACTGAAACATAGAAGGTAAGACTTTATTTTGATAGTCCACTTTAGACATTCAACTACCTTTAAATAATTTTGCAACTCCATGTCAACTAGCAGTCATTAGAGTATTAGCAGACTGTCTGCTTAATATCTACTAACACTATATATTGATGGCCGCTCAGCAGACGTTCTACTGACTGTTAGTAACTTTGCAAGTACGGCAACATATTTTACTAACCCTAACCTAACAGTCTACAAATGCTCTAATGAGAGTTAGTTGACATGTAGTTGCAAAGTTACTTAGAATGTCTAAATGGACTATCGTAATAAAGTGTAACCAACTAAATTTAAAGAAACAGGGTGTGGAAAATGAGTGAAACTCATTTAAAGCAAATTATAAGAGCACAAATGTCCTAAAAGACATGAACTAATGGAAGCATCTTTCGGTCAAACAATAATGAATCACCACACATACACACATTAATTAATAAACAAGTGTTAATTCAGGCATTTTCTAGTTTTCCGGAAAAAAAAATGAAGCTGAACTCTAGTTGGAAGAAAAAACATTTAAAACAGCAAATTGAACATTCTGGCTTTATATAACAGGCATCCAAAAAGCTCAAATAATAAAATATTTACAAAGTAAAGCACAAAAGCTTTCTTATTCCAAAAAGCCTCATTTACAACAGATTCACAGTGAGATCGTTGTTTGATCTTGATAATTTTGCTCAGAATTTGTATGGGGAATATTGCAACTGTGAGTCGTGAAATTCCGTAAAGTAAGTCCTAATATTCCTCTGTCACACACACACTCTAGAGATACTGCATAGCAAGGAGTGTAATAATTAAAACTAGACAGGTGGAAAAGAGAAAACACACAAACTAGCGGCAAGAAAGAGAGAAAAGCACAACCACATCAATCTTTCAGAGGAAGCTATGACATCACATGTGACATCAAGCTTAATGAGCGCTGCCGGGGCACTGCTGTAGCGATGTGGTTTGTGCGATGTGGTTTGTGTGGTGGTTTTGTGAGCAGTGAGCGAGAGGCAGTTCCTCTCCAGTCCACTAAGTGTCCTCCTCCAGCACACCCACTCCTCTTCTCCTGAGCACATCGGCTCCGTCTGCTCGCTGCCACTCTTCAGTCTTTCCACTGTACTCATCATCATCATCATCCTCTTCCTCTCCATCTGCTTCCTGTTCATCTTCCAACTGCTGCAGGAGACGTACCTGCCCAGCAGGCAGTTTCCCTACAGAAACATTAACACGCCAGATCATTATAGTTTAAGTTTTAATGAATCTCTGGTGCATTACATGTCCCTGTAGTCAAGCAGGCAGGTTCATATAAACATTTACACTTACTGTGGTGATAATTTGGTGCAAACCGCCGTGACGGGAAAGCAAAATCGGCGATGAAAACTAGTACCTGAGAAAAATAATATAAAATAAAATCAGAGAGACATTTGATTCACAAATGATTCCAATAGAGTTTAATGTTAGCATTTTCAAAGCTAATGATGCAATGTTCTAATAAGCTTAAAAGCACACGACATTCAATTGAGCAATTTATTTATACTTTAGCTACTTTAGACATTTACATCTAAGATTTTGGATAAATGAGTTTGTTGCAATGTATTCTGGGATTACCCACTCCAATATTAACACTTGAAACATATCTTATTTGCACAACTGTTAGTAAATTTGGGGTCAGTAATACTTTCAAAAAGACATTAATACTTTAATTTAGCAAAGATGCATTAAATTTATCAAAATTGACAGTAAAGACATTTATAATGTTCCAAAATATTTATATTGAAAAAAATAAATACTGAACTTTCTATCCACCAAAGGAACCCTGAAAAAATATGCATCACTGTTTCCACAAATTATTCAGCAGCAACTGAATGATCAACTAATGATCAAAAGCAATTATGGTGAGCACAAAATACTTTTTTTAAACCATTAAAAACCGTACAACCTTAAAGGGATAGTTCACCCCAAAATGAAAATTTGATGTTTCAGACTGGAACTGTGGTGCTTCCATTAGCATACACTGGATCAATGAGTCTGCACCAGTGAACTTACTGCAGTGTTTCTCAACCAGGGGTCCGTGGACCCCTAGTGGTCCTTGACGTAAGGCCAGGGGGTCCGTATAAAGTATGAATTTTTGTGACATGACATGTTCCCATGAAAGAAAAATCCAATATAGCTGATGATATGGCCAAATACTGGACAAGTCAACTAATTTGAATTATACTTGACTGCATTTGGTCCTCACAAAGATACAAATGATACATAGATGAGTCAATTTTGTTCTGGGGATCCTTGAGGATGGTTCTGAATTGGACAGGGGTCCGGTATGCCAAAAGGTTGAGATTCACTGTCCTAAGACACGAAACGATCGGTTTGTGCCAGAAACCGAACAGTATTTATATCATTTTTTTACCTCTAATACAGCACTATGTCCAACTTCCTTGAGCGCGCGCACGGCATCCGGTGCGTGAGGTGTGTACGCGCTCTGGCGTAGTTTACGTTAATGGGTGTGTTGATAT